TACATTTTTCTGTCTATTTCTCCCATCCCAGCCCACCCTGCCCCGTGCTCCCCACCTCCCTCTCATTTCCACCCCCCTTAGTTCTTGTCCCTGTGTCCTTTATACTTGTTCCTCTAAATCCCTCCCCTTTTTTCCCCTTAAATTCCCTCTCCTCTTCCCTCTGGTCGCTGTCCCCCTGTTCTCTATTTCAGTGTCTTTGTTTTTATTTTGCTTGCTTGTTTGTTTTGTTGCTTGTTTTTGTTCATTTTGTTAATATCTTTAGAATTCTTTCCTTCTCCTATCTTGTCTCTATTTTGGTCATTTGTTACTATGATTTCTGAAAAATACATAACAAGTGTCCCCTGATATCAGTTGGGCTGCCACACTCTTTCCTTCAGTCCATTACCATACCCATAGATGTGTTCATGTCACCCTTTTGCCTAAAGTTCTTCCTTCCCTGGCATCAGTATAAATGATAATGATCAATATGTCATATTACTGGTGTGTTCTATATTGTGTTTATCTTTCTAGCCTTATCATCTGCCATTCCTAGAAATGTTTTTGCTCTAGCCACGTGGAATAAATTTTCTTTTCCCCATAGTTCCTTGCTGTCTTGGCTTTTGACCGTTGCAGAGTTCTCCTCTGTCTCTAGGCTTCATTTCTCCTCTGTCAGTGCCTGAGAATCTCCCATTAATCTTCAAGCCTGGCCTAAGTAGCTTTTCTGCAAAACCAGTTCTTATACCCCTTCTGCAAGGCCCCCTTTTCTAGGGTTTACTGTGTTAGTCAGTTTATTGCTATGTGCTGTAATGATTGCCTTACTCATCTGTTTTTCTAACAAGACTCTAAATTCAGTTAAGGGATTGTTCTTTCACTCCATGCTCCCTATATAGTAACTGACTGTGTGCCTCATAAATTTTTTTTACTAAATGTTGGTTGAATGAGTGCTTGGATCACTTATATCTGAATGATTTGATAGAAAATGACCTGCATATTTGAACAAGATTTATGAGTTGTCATGGATCCTAAATTAAAATGATTGCTAGTTAGCACTTGGTTGCTCCTTCCTATATATACTAATTGCTCTTTAAGAAGCTGAATCTAACTTTCTCTGTGATTAAATACATGAGATTTAAAAATACATTTATTCCTTAGAGTTCATGTCACTTATTAGAATAGTGTAGAGTTTTTAGTTTGAAGTGTTTTTTTTTTATTTTAAAGGAGAAACCTATGGTATAAAGATAAAAACTATGAAGTAATACTCCTTTCAACATATGTGTAAATTCAAAACAGAGCTTTTTGTAAACTTGAATGTCCTCAGTAGACCCTGGAATATTTGTAAGTGATTAATAAATATATAATTTAAAATTCTTTTGAATGAGAATTTTTTAGATAGGCTTATTCTATTATAAAAAATATCACAGGATTACTATAGAAGTATATTCTTACAAGATTCATGCCACCAGTAAGTAAGTCTTTTTTGTTATTGTTGTTGTTATGAATAATAAAAATACAGATATGAAATCTGCCTTTCTTTAGGGCTTATTTTTTTCCTCAAAGCTGGAGGTTAGTTTTTTTCCAATTTGAAAAGAGACCAATTTAATTTTTTTTGAGTGGTGATCTAATATTACTCCTACTGTTACCAAACAAAGTGGGATTCAGCTGCTTGCTGCCAGACACAAGCACAACACCTTAATTGGTGGGGAAGGAAAAAGGTTTTCATTAACAGAGTGCTCAATTTTGGGGAGGTAAGGACTATCCAGCTCTAAGCCATTCTCTTCTGCAAAACAAAGAAATCCTTGAGTTCCCAAAAAGACTGAAATTCAAGCCCATGCCTAGAGACACTCCCTCCACTCTTACCTGCCTTTTGGAGCCTGAGGCTGCTACACAGAGTGGTATCCACCTCTCCAGCTCCAGGCTCTCTCTACCTCTGGAGTGCACACTTGTGAAGCCAGCATCTCCATTGTCCTGCTGCAGCTTCCTGCCTCTCCTGGGGCCAGAGCACACTGCCAGATGACTACAGCGGGTCATGGTAGGTAGGGGCCCTGTTCATCGGGCTCCAGTGTCTATGCTGACTGTGTCCCCGGAGCTGGCAAACTTTCCTGGTCCACATGTCTGTGTGCTGCTCTCAGAGTGAGAGAATGGGAGCAATTCAAGATCCATGCACTGTGTAGCATGGGGTCTCAATGGTGAGGTGCTAATTTTCTGTGGGTTGCCACTGGCAAGGTGTGTGTCCCCCACAGATCTGCTCCTGACCATACTGGAAGGGCAAAGCAAGAGTCGTGAGCATGGCCTGCGTCTACTGGGTCCTGCGAAGACCCAATCACCCGCCTCTGACTGGGTGGGATGAAGGGAATGCAAAAAGGGTCAAGTTTCTGTGTGCCTTACATTTTAAATCTTTCACCCCCAAATCCCACATGAGACAGAAGTGTCCAGATTCCCAGCCAGTCGCAGCTGGTGTCCACTGCAGACATCAACCTGCTCAGCGTCTTTGCCCCTCCTCTGGTTACCATGATCCAGAAGCTGGTAAGGGGCACAGTGACTCTGCCCAGGGGACAGTATTGCCATGCTCACCTTTACAATACACTGTGTCATGACCTTTTCAGCCCATGCAGGCTCCGTGCAAGCGGTGTCTTGAGCTTACCCTTCCCTGGGGTTTGGAAGCCTGTCACATGGTGTAGGTTACGATTTCATCCGCCACCTTAGGCACTTCCCGACCCCTCTCTGGTATCCCTCCCCTGTGCTCAGTGTTTTGGCCAGACCTCTCTGTTACACTACTAGTAGAATTATATTATTTATGTATCTGGGGGAGAGGATGGGAGACTGAATGTATAGAATACAGAAAGGAATGATGTAATTAATAATGCTAGATACTGTTTTGTTTTTCTAACTTCTCCATACCCTCTTCAGTCCAAATTTAGGGGATAGACATCAAATATATACGGCATATATATAACTTCAGATTCTGATTTACGACTTTTTAAGCTGTTAACAAAGCTGTTTTGACGGGTAATACTTAAGATGATGTTAGTGGAACTCTTCTTCCCCACTCCTGATGTTTCCTTCCCTCTGGCAGGAACTTTACTAGTGCAGCACTCCTGATGTCTTTTCTCTGCCAAGCAGGAGCTGCCTGGGAAGGAAGCTCTGAGCATGCACAGCCCAACCCCTTCTTTGGGAGCTAACTCCCTATTTAAACCTGTTCCTCCATCCTGTGAGTTTTACAGCAGCTCCCAACATACAGAAGGCTTTGTGATTTTCTAGTGCAGCCTGTGACTATGTAGGTGAGTCTTTTTAATTCTGTGCTTCAGTATTAGCCAAAAGATTGCTAACTGCACATCAGCCATATTCTGCAGCATCAGTAAAAAGGTGGTATTTTGACAGTCTGTCTGCCTTTCTCCTCGAACTCGTGTGTGGTGTTAGTCAGTATACCAGTGTCCTAGCATACATCTTTAAGTTCTCACAACAGCGTGAAAGTAAGTGGGATCATTTTCTCACTGCAGATGAGCAAAGGGAGGTTGTAGGAAGGTAAATCACTTTGAAGTTAGGTTTGACACCTGGTAATTTTTACTCCTAAAAATGTGTCCATTAGGATACACTGTCAAGGAAAATACCACAGATAAAAGCTTTTATGGGTTTTGCATTATATATATCACCAAGGAATACAGATGAAATTTATTGTTTTGTAGACAGTATTTTAGGAACTATAAATGCAAGCATTGTAATATAGCCTGCAAGTCCATGAATGCACAGGTGCTCGCCTCCCTCCTCAGTTCTGCCAGCTGTCTTAAGCATCCAAGTCCTTCATCTCTTTTTAACACTTGGGCTTCCTGTCCTATTTCCTCTGATGAGAATGCACCTTTTCCACCCTCCCCCTCTACCTGGTTAGCTTCTAGTCTCACTCCCAGAGTCACTTCCTCTAACTGACCTCACATTGCCACCATCTCTAAAGTTGGTCCACATTGTGATTTCTGCCAGCCACCTGATCGGTCCACTCGCCACTGTAGCCAGTATTTGTGGCCTATACATCTCACTAAGTGAAACTCCATGAGCACATCAACCATTTTTCTTTTGTTCACTGTTGTGAGCCTTTTGTCCTAACACACTGACAGCTTGGGGTTGGCACCCCAAACTGGTTGCTAGGTGAGTAAATGGATATTCTGTTTGGCATCATGCATTGGCCTTAAGGTCTTTGCTCATTGTTTTCTACTTAATACTTGCAAATAACATTTTAAACATAGCCTCTTTCCTGATATTTATAAAAAGTACAGAACTCAAATCTGTAAATTTCTTTTTGGGCTTTAAACTATAGAAAGCATAGAGTCGATGATTTCCAGGTGTGCAAACTACTTACTTCATGTATCAGGGATAATATAAGACAAAGCTGCCCCAGTTGTGGAACCTGTGTTATGTGCTCCTGCACTATGGTGTAGTGAGAGGGACCGCTCTTTGCGTTTCAGTGTCATTGTGCTTGGATTTTGTAACTCATATATTCAGGAGGAATATCATAAAGCTTGGATTTGTCTTTGACACCTACTCAGTAGGGAATATGTTAGTGCCTACTTACATTTTTAATGTAGTTCTTGATAAGTTGTTTATTGTTCATATATAAAATAAGGTCAGTAGTAGAGTAGTGTATGAGTTAATTTTATTTCCTAGTCAAGCATGAAAACGAGGATAAGGTGTTATAAAAAGATCAAATGTTGATAGTTTGGGACCAAAATAAAGAATTTTTCCGTATGCTTTTTCTCTTCTGTTAATCTAACATAACATAATTAATGTCTTGAAGGGGAAAAACCAAGACATTTCTACACACTTAATTTTGCATCCCTCAATCTTGAAATTGTTGATTGCAGCAGAATTTCAGTTTCCTGGACAGCTGTTCTGGAACAACTGCCCACGTGTAATAAACAACTGAACCAAGATCTGTATGGAAATAACATTGATGAGGTGTTGTCAAGTGTCTTACTGTTTCACTGTGACAGCTGATATTGTTTTTTTTGTCTTCCCCACCCCCATTTATGCAGGGTATTGATGTACGAGATGCTCCTCTAAAGGAAATAAAGGTGACCAGTCCCCGGCGATTCATAGCTTCATTTAATGTCGTAAATACGACAAAACGAGATGCCGGGAAGTACCGCTGCATGATTCGCACGGAAGGAGGTGTTGGGATATCAAACTATGCAGAGTTGGTAGTTAAAGGTATTTAATGTATTTTTATATCCCAGACTAGTCTATTAAAATTGATATGTTACATGATTATGAGTTCATTATTTGCTTAAAGCTCAAACTTATCCTTGTCTATTTCTGAGCAGTAGTTTAGTGGCAGTCTATATTGATGTATTACATTTTAAGTACAAATTTTGTATGTGAGCATTATTTTTGAAAAATATATTTTGCTTATGCTGGTTTAGTTGCATACAAAGCAACAAATGTGCTCTTGGCAAGTTCTTCTTCCAACTCTATATACAGAGATTATAACCTATAAATTTTTTTAAGGAATGAAAATTTTTTACTGATAGAAAATCACTTAAAATGCAAATATTCACCAGCCAGGGTGTTTATGATATCAGGGTGGGTAATAAAATGAGGCACTGTCAGTATAAAAGTGCTCACACAAGTCATATTAGTAATTCTGAGTTAATATTTATAATGTTGTGATTAAAGTTCTATTACTAGATTTGGCATGACTGAAAAATTGAGCCATTATATTAGGGAAGGTTGTAGATAGGGAAAAAAAGGGGGGGAGTAAGTTTTCTTTACCTGTTTTATTGTGTGTTTTGCAGGGTGAGGGTTATGTGTGTGAGCAGAGTCGTTTATCATATTAAACTGCCAAAGCAAGTCTCGGTCCCAGACAGAATAATTTGGACTTTTAGATGTACTGTGAGGTGTTTTTAGAGAACTTGTGGCAGGCCACTGCTCTTTCGTCTTGGCAGAACAGAATGATGCCAATTTTTTAACTCTTTCCCTTGCTAGATATGGGACATAAAAGTCATCTCTTTTAGATGAGCTATTTCTTTTGTCAGCAAATTTCTGTGTAGGCAGTTTTAAATACTTCAGGGTTCAAACCCCAGCACTAGCTCTGTGGGTGTGGGCCAGTACCCTCTCTGTGCTTCTGTTTCCCCATGTGCAAGGTAGAAATAATAGTATTACCTATCCCATAGGTCTGTCAGGAGGATAAATGCAAGAAGTATATGAGTAGCACATTGAACTGTATACCTAGTAAGCAGTCAGCACCTGTTCGTGCTGTGATGGGAAGGAGGGGCGGACATGGTGATTCCTACTCTTTGCTCCAGTACATTAGTTATTTGGGAATGCATGTCAGCACAACCTCTCCAAATTTTAAAAAATGTAAATGCCTGCCCACCCATTCTCCCCTCCCTCACCACACCCATATTGAATCAGAAGCTTGGGGGACATAGTCTGTTATCAAATCTATAGGTAATCTGGGCATGTGCTTCCATGGCGGAATCACTGCTGCCAATGCCAGTCACGTCTGGCTTTTGAAAGAAAATGTTGATCAGTGAGCCTTCCTCAAGCAGTGTTCTGTGTCAGGAAGTGCACGTCAAACTATCTGCTTGAAAATCCATTTGCCATATCAGATCCATATGTATTTTTCTAGTGAATCTTTAGCTTGTCTAGCTAGTGTTTGAGTTTAGGTTTGGTATCTATAAGGAACCTGAAACTTTTCATAGGTGTGCTCAGCAGACCCTGCCAGAGTTCTCAGAAGAGAGGAGTATTGGTGTAGAAAGTGGACACTGTTTACCAACAAATCCAGTAGAGCAGCCTCAGTGTTCCCACAGCTGAGTTCCTTATTATCATCATTATTATATAATCTTCATCGTGGTGTAGTTCCTTGTGGTTTTTCTGAGTTATGTTTGCTGTATGAGCTTCGCTGTAACCAGCCAGTGTCTGGGTTCTTGAGGCATCGCGCTTCAGGATCAGTATGATGCAAATCAATTCATTTCTCTAAAAATTGCCACTGTGGGCAAGTTAATTTCTTGGGAGTTACAAGTGAACTAAAAATGTCTTGTCTGGCAGAACAAGCATAAACACAAGAATGAGTGGTTTCCTATTCACCCATATGCAACATGTTTTACTTTCTTATGACAGCGTAGTGGTACCACAGCTCATTGTGATAAAAGTATCCAGGCTCTTCTTTCTGTTGCTGCACACCACCAAAGCCAGTGACAATTGGCTTGAAGTCACAGCCCAAATATGAATCTTGACTTTTCCTCCATTTAGAATTTTATAGCCATATTTAGAATACATTTTATTTTAAAATGAGATAACATACTGGATTCTACTCATTCAATAATTACTTTGAGATGATTACTTTAAAATATACAATAACATTTTTAGGCCACCTGTATTTATTTAACAGTTTGTTATATGCATGTATTATTTACAGCTCTAGTTTTTTCAATGGGAAAAACTAAACTCCATAAAGTTTATAGCTTTCTTATAGCTACACACTGATTTGGTGCTAGCTTTCCAAGTGAAATGCAGGTCATTTTTTGTAACTCTTACTCTGATCTTATTGATGTCTACCATTTCTTTCTTTCCCTTCTTTTTTATTGCATGTATTGGAGTGACATTGGTTGATATAATTGTGTATGTTTCAGGTATGTAATTCTCTAATAAATCATCTGTAGTCACCTCCTTCTACCTCAATTTACCCTCCCATACCTTCTTTAACCTCCCCCAATGTCCTTTCACTTTCACTTGAATTAAATATTTTAAATTGCTCTTTATCACTTAGTATAGATTTTTCTCCCTTCTTTCCTTTCAGGAAAATGTATCTAAATTTAAATATTGACTTATTTTTGTGCTGGTGCTTTTAGCAGCCCACAGTTTCTTTTGAATATCCGTCTCAATTATGTCCAGGTTCTAGTTGAATCCCTGGCTTGATTTAACATAGATGGTTCTTTTCTTAATAGGGAATTAATTCTCAGGACAAACAAGCACTGAAGATATATCTATTTTAGGATATGGATAATGATATCCCAAATGAACTGGTGTACTCACTAACCTCTGTGCCCTTGCCCCTGAGTTATATTTTGAATGGCAGTTTAGCAATCCTTGCTAGCATTTTGCAGCTTCTGTGTAATTAACTGCTCTTTCGGTCTAGCTGCATGAACGCCTTAGGATGCACCATAAAAGGCCCATTCCATGTCTTGGTTCAAGGGATCACCCTCATGAAATAAATTAATGTTGAATCATTATGAGTTGAGTCAGAACTATTTAAAAAATGAACAGTCAGCACAAAATTGTAGTTTACAAACAATAGGAATAATATTTTAGTAAATTACACTAAATTTGTATTACCTTAAATAAAACGAATCCTTTAGTGTTTTATTTTGATTCCCAAGCTACTTTAGAAAGTCAGAATGATTTATCTTACCCTGAATAGAGAAAAGATCAAAGACTACCGCCACCCCAACAAAGGGATGTTGCTGGCATTTTAGCCAGTCTGGGTATCAGGGTCAGGGTCAGATGGTACTGGCTGCCCTGAGGTCCTGTTCAGCAAGAAACATGACCATCACCAATTAGTTGCATGTGCCACTGACAGAAACTGTATCGTGTAAGCCAGTGTAAGCATAGTGGGACATAGCAGGCTCTGTTTTCCATGCATTCACATGAGCTAAATGAGGACTTTAAAAAACAAACAACAAATAGGCACAAACCACTGCAGAAATATTCTTGAAAAAATTCATTGGATCTTACTTTTCTTTTCAGATGGAGATTCATTAAGATAGACACATGTTATTTTGTACACTTACCTCCTTTCCTGATATAATGTGTTGTTCCTCTCACAATGACATTGGCATATAAAATGCTTCATTTCCTGTCTGAAGAGCCATTCAACCAGCTCCTCAAAAGTATATTGGGAATACTATTTAAAACAAGATTATCTATCTCTCCCTTCTCTTCTCAATGATCTGGAAAAAGAATTGGTCTCAGGTTTTAAACAATGAGAGACTTTCTTGGGTTGTAAAGAGTGTTTGCTGTTGATTATTTAGAATTTTATCAAGCTGGACATAGCCTGTGCTTTGCTTTCTTTCTATTCACTAATTTATTCTTTTTTTAATTTTATTTAATTATTTTTCAAGTACAGTATTCTATTTCTCCCATCCCAGCCCACCCCACCCCGTGCTCCCCACCTCCCTCCCATTTCCACCCCCCTTAGTTCTCGTCCCTGTGTCCTTTACACTTGTTCCTCTAAATCCCTCCCCTTTCTCCCCTTAAATTCCCTCCCCTCTCCCCTGTGGTCACTGTCCCCCTGTTTTCTATTTCAGTGTCTTTGTTTTTATTTTGCTTGCTTGTTTGTTTTGTTGTTTAGCTTCTTGTTAAAGGTGAGATCATGAAGAGATGCTCAATATCGCTAGCCATCAGAGAGATGCAAATTAAAACCACAATGAGATACCACTTTACACCAGTCAGGATGGCTATCATAAACAAAGCAACAAACAACAAATGTTGGAGAGGTTGTGGGGAAAACGGGACCCTAGTTCACTGTTGGTTGGATTGCAGACTGGTACAACCATTATGGAAAACAGTATGGAATTTTCTCAGAATAAATAAAAATCGACCTGCCTTTTGACCCAGCAATTCCACTGCTAGGATTATATCCTAAGAACCCTGAAACACCAATCTCAAAGAACCTATGCACCCAATGTTCATAGCAGCACAATTTACAATAGCCAAGAGTTGGAAGCAACCTAGGTGCCTGTCAGTAAATGAATGGATCAAAAAATTGTGGTACATATACACAATGGAATTCTATGCAGCAAAGAGAAAGAAGGAGCTCCTACCCTTTGCAACAGCAAGGATGGAACCGGAAAGCATTATGCTGAGTGAAATAAGCCAAGTGTTGAAAGACAGATACCATATGATCTATTCACTAATTTAATATGACTCGTTAATGGAAGTGCCCTGAACAGCACGGGTGGTGGACTTAATTATCCAGACTGCTTGCTTCTCCTGAAGCTAAATGAGTCCATTGTGATAGTTTTTTGGGAAATGAGTCTTCCTGGATATGCATTTATAATTAGATAAACTATAATTTTGGCCACATCTTTAAAGTGATTATGTCTGGGATATAAATATAAGGAAACTAAATCTAATGATATAACTACCACCTTTGATGATTTCAAAGACGTTTTTTTCTGACACTTTTTCAATAAGTAGATTGACAATAGAGTGCTTCCTAGAGCTTAAACACTACCATGTGAGGGAATTTTAAAGTTACTTTTAGTGAAAAAAACAGTCCTTTGAAGTCTGTGTAGCTGTCTGAGAAAAAGGAGTGGTATTTTAAAACAAATTGGAGGTATACCTACTTTAGTAAGCTTAGGTTTTTTAAATGGTTTACTTCACACATTTGAATGTTGTCAATGCCTATATCTCAGTGTATTTTCATTAATAACATAACAAAACCATTCTAATCAATTTATTCCAGAAATGTTAATGTATTCTATATTTTAATAATTGATTTGCACTTAGCTCTTTCAAAACTGAAGAGCAGAGTGTCTGACAGATGGTTCTTGGGTTTACTTTTCAGAACCACCTGTACCAATCGCCCCCCCTCAGCTGGCCTCAGTGGGGGCGACCTATCTGTGGATACAACTCAATGCCAACTCCATCAACGGGGACGGACCCATTGTCGCCCGAGAGGTGGAATATTGCACAGCAAGTGGGAGCTGGAATGACCGGCAGCCAGTGGATTCCACGAGTTATAAGATTGGGCACCTCGATCCAGATACAGAGTACGAGATCAGTGTGCTCCTCACCAGGCCAGGGGAGGGCGGCACTGGATCTCCTGGGCCAGCCCTCAGAACAAGAACGAAGTGTGCGGGTGAGTATGGGAAACTTGGGACTACTTGTCATTGTCTTTCTGGGCATGGACCTGAAGCATTGGTGTTCATCAGGTGGCTAACACACTCCCCCAGCTCTGGCCGCCTCCTGTAAGGGAGCAATTAATTCCCTTCTCCTGTGAACAGTAGCCCAACAGCCTGTGTACTTTGGTACCTCGAGGCTTGGTGTCTCTCAGGCAGCTCCCACCCCTTTGTCCCCTATTCTTTATTTACACCTTCCTGTGAATATCACAGAGTTCAAGTGGAAATTACCCCAAAATGTGACAGAATGATCTGCTTTAATGATGTCTGTTCACAGGTCAGATCCTTTCATCCTGGTCCCTTTCTTTTATGTTCACAGTCGATGTGCTCATAGCCTGGAGGAGCTTTGGAATAATGGATTTCATCTAAGAGATAGCTTTAAAGCTGTGTTTCTATTGATGGATATTTAATGGAGGGCTGCTTGCCAATGACATGGAGCCCATTTGTAAAATAAGCAAGGGTGATTTGTGGACTGCATGCAGTCTTTAAGTTTAGATTATATAGTTCTAATTAACTGCTGAACTCACTCTGCAGCTTAAATAAAAGTAGGGAGAGAAATTCTGAGTCTCATAAAAATTAAAACCTGACCTTAACTCCCACTAGAGAGTATAGTGTTGTTTCTATAAAGCTCCTTTTTGGCCAGAAGTAGAGAAGAATAGTATATTGGGATACTGAAGTATTCTTGTATCATTTAAATAAAGACTCCTTTATTGAATTGTGGGTTCAAGTGAAGAGATTCCGTAACTTTCTATGGAGTTAATTGATTCTTCAGAAAGCATTATTTAAGAAGGTACATGTCAATATGTTTCATTTCTTTTTTAAGTTTTAAAAGTACTGAGTGCAGCCTGACCCTGTTAGGTAGGAAAAATGATTAAACATCAACAGTTGGAGATATTTCATTTTTTTCTTTATAATTGGGAGTGTACTGCTTTCACAAGTTCAAAACTCATGAGGAAAAAATCTGTTTAGGTTTTTTTTTAAGTTTTTGTTAGGGGAACAAGTAGCGTTTTCATCTGGGGACACATGGCGGGCCTGTTTTAGCTGGTCTGCACGCGTTGCCCGTGTCCACACCTGCGTGCACAGGTCACTGTCCGGGCAGGGTCTCTGGAATGTGGACTGCTGTGCGGACCGCTAGTCCCCACAGTCGTGATTGGCAGTTCCTAGGAGGAAGGTGTTTGACAACCCTTTCTCCTCCTCACTTCTGTAAGTCGTGTCATTTCCTTGCTCTTTTTAGTTGAATAAATTTCTCTTCCTTTTTGTGAAATAATTTATGTTATCATCTGTTGCAATGCACACAATAGGTTAGGGGAACACTGCACATACCATTTTACAATCTACGGATTGCTTTCAAATCTGTGACTTATTTCATAACTGCCTTGTGGAGTCTCCAGGGCAGATATTGTGATCCCCTGATTGTGGTGAGATGAAGCCTGTATGATCTCTGTCCTTCTCTGAGCATGCTCTGTAAGCAACACATTTAGTATCGTTTTACTCCAGTGTTACTTTGAGGAATCCTGTCTGGGGCCTGCCAATATACAGGCACACAAGCGGGCACACTCTTTCTCTCTCTTTCTCTCCCCTCAAAAGAAGGTTAGAATTCTATTTCATAAACTGGAGAGAGCATATAATGTTTCTTTCTAGTCACTAACAACCCCACATACTTTTATGTTTCTAGTTCTGTTCTTTTTATATATTTTGTCTTTTCTCTTGGTTTGTTGCCTGTACATTTCAGCTGTTGATGCAGTTACTCTATACATTTTCCCTGAATACAGTGCATATATTTCTTGTTTTCCAGAATCCTCTGTTATTGTTGCACCATGTATAAATATATAAATCTCAAAGAGACAGTGAACCTTTATAGTAGCTCGATAGCCTTTTTTTAAACATCAAAACCAATTCTGAACCGAAATTTGCATGTCAGCACTATGCCTTGAAAGATTAAGCCTCACTTAAGCAAGGAGCCCAGGGGTGAGGCACTCTCTTCCCCTTGCCATTTGTGACCTGCCTTTGACAGTGTGTCACGCACTGGCATTAAATGTTTTTGAAATCGCTGTAGTTGAACAAGTCAGTCTTAGGGAATGTTAGTTAAGTGAATCAAAGCAAGAAATAAGAGGTGGAGTCATGGTATGTGGGTGAGGAAAGTGAAGTCAAACAGGACTTTTCACTGTCAGGAGAAATATAGTTTCACCCTCTCTTGACCTGAGGCTTTTGAGAAAACGCAAAGCTGAGACAGGTGACTGCTGTTGGTGAGCAGTGGGACACCGTGGAGAGCAGACTCAGTCACAAGGAAGAAGACAGCTGTTGCAAAGTAGAGACTGAAAAATTGGATAGTGGTCTCAGATGGTTTGTGAGCCCTAAGGGTTCATAAAGAGCAAGGCATGGGTTTCATAAGCTGGGAGGGACTCTAAGCATTCTTGCAAGATTGATGGAAAATGTCTTTGGCCAGTTTGAACCAATGGATGAGTCTATTAGGGTGCTATGTAGGAGGAATAATTCCACATCCATCTGGTATGGTTTAAAAAGCTGAGAATACTAGTATGGAATTAGAATAATAAAATCTAGCAACAACATATATAAAAAAAACTGATTCAGGGCTTGCTTAAATGCATATGAATCTATAATATTATTCATATTGTATTAATTATTCTATAATGCTATTGCCTCACCCCCTCCCCAGAAAAAAAATCTAATATAACCCTAGGTTGCATTAAAAAAAAAGCAAAATGCTCATGTTGAAGGAGGTGATAGCTTTATTCTATGAGTTCTAGTTAGCCTCCCTAAAACTATTGCATTTATTTCTGTTCCTGCATTTTAAGAAAGTACAAAATAGATGGTGCTCAGGGCATAGGACCCAGAAGAACAGAGGTTCTGGAACCTTGCTCAACCAGTGAGCAGCGATGGAAAGAAATGAGAAAGGTAATAGAGAAGAGCATTGTCTATGCAAATTTGTCAAGGCTGAATCGTGAATAGTGAGTTTCTGATGGCTTCTTCATTCCAGCAGAGCCTGACAGTGTAGAAGGGGATTTCTATACTTAGCAGAGGATTGAGCTGGTTGAACCTGAAGAATCTCAGCATGAAGATTCTATGATTAATGTGTTGTTCCCTTTCTAATGTGATGACCCATCATATGTTTCTTCCCTCATACTCTGAGTTTCACTTTATGTTATTTTTGTCCAAGTACCTCAGAATCATGCTTGTCAATCCCTGCTTTGCAGGCCAGGGAAGGTTTACAAGCAGCTGAGCAAATGGGGAAAAGTAGTGAATATTTAATACTGCTAAATAGATTAAATTTTAAGAAATTACTTTTATTCTGAGATACCCTGTCTGGGATTAGTGTGAAAATATCCTTTTGTGCAATGATGATGTCCAAGTACTAGAACCAGAGTCAGCAGGTGAGAACAGAGGCTCTGGGACCTGGCTTCCCAGATTGAGTTCTAGCCTTGCTGGGCTATATGTATGGCCTGGGAACACTGCACACCTTTTCTGGACTTCTGTTGCCTTATCTATAAAACAGGGGTGGTAACAATAATAATATGTGTCTTGTAGTCTGGCCATGACACCTTAATAAGCTGATGGAAATAAGGTGCCTTGAAGAGAACCTTACATATAGCAAGCAGTCAATGCAAGTTAACTGTCATTTAAATTTTTAAAAAATTCTTTAACATTTTAAATCAAAAGAGTTATGTGTTGGCAACCTCATTTCATTGCCCAAGATGTTTTATAAATATTACCTGTCTGCAAATCTGAGCACTACTGTTTTATAATATGGGCTAGTAGAATTTCCAGCAGTTAAGTATTCCATTCATGAGAGGTGTTATTCTCTTGTGGGTCTTTTAAAATCAAATCTGTTTTTTAATTTTTTTGACAAGATTTCTTTTCATTTCTGTGCTGAACCAATGAGATCTGTCGTATAATGTTTTTAGTGACACCTATGAAAATGTATTTCACTTTTTACATTAAAATGGCAACATCATTATTTATTGTTCTCTGCACAGTGGAATTGATTTTCATGTGTAGTTAGTAGATGCTGTCTCATTACCTGCTCTGATTTCATTCAAGAATTTTATTGGAGCATACCTCCAGAGTTCTTGCTTCTTATGCATCTGAAAATTATTTTCAAATACATGCACAAGCTCCCCCCATTCAACCTTGATCAAATCACTTAGCTTTTCTTGTTCTACCTCCTCATCTTTAAACAAGGATAGTGACAACTACCCTGTCAGAGTGCTTTTGGAGATTAGGTTAGATATTATCTATAAAGATATTTTACAAATTATAAAAGTGCTCTAGCTATATGGGGTATTTTTTAATGATTTATAGTCAGGATCTAGTTTCAGGAATTAAACACATATCCAGTTATTTCCCAACTTTGTAGTTCAGCTATAGTTGAGTAACCTCAGAGAGTTGGAATTACTTTAGTATTCAGTTACGCCAAATGCAATTTAGTTCATGTTTTCTATTATACCTCATATTCTTATGATTATGTGCAGCCTGTGTATCACAAGCCATTAAGTGGTAGCTACTTGAAAAAGAAAAACGGGAGGTGCAGTTAGATTAATTTTCACAGTGGACTTTTTATGTGTTTTATTTTGGGATATTGCTTTTTATGTATCCTAGTTATTGTTTAACTGTGGTTAAGTGGCTTGCTAATAACTGGCCCCAGGAGTTAAAGAAGGGGGATGATAAACTAATGACTTAACGATTAAGACTGTTGAGAGTGAAAAAAACTAAACCGAAATGTGTTTTTTTAGAATTACTGTAACCAAAAAGCTTTGAAAAAAAGAATGATTATACCTTTTTAAAATTTATTCATAAAATATTTATTGAACACCCATATTTGCAAGAACCATTTCCAGGTCCTAAGGGTACAACAAGAAGACAAGATCCTGCGTTCAAAACTGATAAATTTGGGAGTATTGGAGGGAGGAAATATACAGGCAATAAACAAGACTGTACACAT